CAAACAAAACAACGACGACGACCTAGAGAGCGAAAGAAAGAAAAGAAGAGGCTAGAGTAGCGAAATGAGGAAAATGAAAGGGAGAAAAAACAAACACTAAAAGAAACAAAATCATCTCCTCCTCTTGACAGCAATGAAAAAAAAGAAAGAGNATCCAAGGCAAAGGATTGCACTGCTGCTGCTGCTGCTGCTGCTACTTTTCGGAAGCAGTACCCAAACTAAACTGAACTGAAGTTCGAAGAAAGAGAGGGAATGTACCGCTGGATAATTCAATTAGTTGGCAAACAGAAAAGGAGGAAAAGAAAGAAATACTGCTCTCTCTCCCTCTCACACAATGGTCAAACAAAACAACGACGACGACGACCTAGAGAGCGAAAGAAAAGAAAAGAAGAGGCTAGAGGAGCGAAATGAGGAAATTGAAGGAGAAAGAAAACAAACACTAAAACAGAAACAAAATCATCTCCTCCTCTTGACAGCAATGAAAAAAAAGAAAGAGAGGAGGAGGAGGACACCTCCAAATCTCGGACATTCTCCTAATCCCCCCTCCTGAAACCATCACAATCACATCACTCTAAGATAAAACTTCTAAAAACCCCTTATAACCCCCCCCCNCCCCAAAGAAAGACCACCTACCTCGAGCATGACACAGCAAATCTGGTAGATGGACTTGGTGATCGCCTCCGCCGTGCCCGACAGCGTCACCGCGCGCTCCGTCGAGTTGGGCAACATCTCGCTGGCCACCTGAATCGAGGCGCCCGTAGACTGTGAAGTAAAGGTGAGAGGAAAAAGAAGGTTAAAAACTCCTCTTAAACTCTACCTAAAAAAATTACAACATTTACCTCTCTAATCTCCTTAATCTTGGCGCCGCCCTTGCCAATCAGAGAGCCGCACTGGCTGGCGGGGACAATCAGCTTGAGCGTGACCGGCGCCTGACCGGCCATCATCGAGTTGACCGCCGCGGAATTGCCCAAACCGGAGGAGTTTTTCCCGTTTGAGCTGGACCCACCTCCTCCATTAGTGCCAATGGAGGTGAGGGAGAGCGTCGAGTGCGACTGCATCATGCCGCCACCGCAGTTTGGGTCCTAGGCAATTGATAGAAAAAACATTAGTTTTAAAAGTTCAAGTTCAAGAATATTCTTTTCCGAAATAAAAAGCTTACCAGATCTAGCCAGCCGCCGACGCTGCTCACCTCCTCAAACTTGCGCGCAATGAGGGCAAAGGCCTTGAGAATGGCGTCCGTCGAGCCGGTGACGGTGACGATGCGCTCCGGACAGGAGCCATCCGATATGGTGATCTTCGCGCCGCTCTAAAGAAAAAAAGGAAAAAGAAGAAAAAAATGGACGTTAAAAGCTGTCCCATAAAACAAAGGAGGGGAGGGGGGAATTCACGGTGCTTACCTCTTCGCGAAATCGCTTGATATTGTCGCCCTTCTTGCCGATAATACTGCCGACTTCCTGCAGAGGGGAGAAAAAGTGTGTATTGAAAATTTAGTACCCGGAATGAAACAAAAAGACATTAGGAAATCTTAAACCAGAGAAAGAGAGAGAGAGAGAGAGAATATTCTACTTCTTTTCATATGAGAGAATGCGTGCGTACGACTCATTATTACTGCTGCCAAAACAACAAAAAAGAGGGAATAAAAAAACGGCTGTTGAGGAGGACGACGGCGACGGTAATAATAATCGGCGAGGATCGAAGAATCGACGGTGGCAAATCCGAGAAAGCATAATAAAAAGAGAACTTTAAAGTACACAAAAGAAAAGAGAAAGCAAAACACAGCCAGTAAGTCTGTGTGTACTGAAAAGCTAAAACACTCTCCTTCTCCCCTTCTCTGCTGGTCGATGCTGCGGATGATGATCGTTAGGAGCCCAGGACCAGATATACCACCGACGATTTAGACGCTTTAAAGTTTAGAGAAGAAGAAGAAGGAAAGGCAGAAAAAATGGCGGCAATAAATAATAGCAAAGGCAGTTATATTACGACGACTACNACGCTTTAAAGTTTAGAGAAGAAGAAGAAGGAAAGGCAGAAAAAATGGCGGCAATAAATAATAGCAAAGGCAGTTATATTACGACGACTACCCAAAAACTACCGCCGCTTCCAGAAGACAATCAAAACAAAGCTCAAGAAGAAGAACTAAAAACTAATAAAGTATAAAAGTGTAACCAGAAGCACAGTCAGTCAGTCAGTTTTTCAAAGGAAGAGACACAGTTGAGCTTAGCTCAGTGGAAAGTGCTAGTTCAGTTGCTGCTCAGTTCTCAGCAGACTAAACACAATCAAAAAGGAAAACGACAATGGGGCAACAGAAATAATAATAACAGTAAAAAAGAATATACAAAAGCAGAAGCAGAAGAAGCACTTCCTTCGGTGACAAAAATAGAATGACAGAATCTTTTTCTGCAGACAGTCATTCAGTCAGCCGACCAAGAAGACAACAGTCTATCGAGCAAAGTAAATGAGATTAACAGAGAGGTCATCCTCTGTTGCCACCAAAGGTCCTCTGTCTCTCTGCTGTAATCTAATCGGATCTAGAGAGGACTCGACGGCCATCAAAAAGCACAAGGCAAAAGTGAAAAAAAGTAAAGTAAATTAGCAATTATGAGACACCAAAATAGGAAAAAAAGGCAGACCAAAGCCTAACCCAGCACAGAAGCAGCTGCTAAACAAACGATGCGAGAGAAAAGTTGCCAACAAAATTGAGCCATACCAACAGCAAGAACAACAAAAGCAAAAGCAAAAGCAACAGAAGGCAGGCAGACATTGTGTGCAGGAGAGAAAACCCATTTTTCTCCTTAGTGTCTACCAGGGCCATTCTCTCTGTTCATTTTTTGTTCCATTCTGTCTGCCGCCACTACTGTCCACTGACCATTAGCATGGCCATAGATCATCGCGTAAAATGGACAAAAAAGCAAGCGAAGAGGGAGAAGAGGAGAGAACGAGCGCTCCGCCATAAATTCGGCAGGAAAAAAGAAGAAAAAGCCATGAACCTAAAAGCTAAAAGAGGCTAAAAAAGAAGAGAAAAGAAACCAGTACCGGCCATCAAAAAGGTCAACTGGAAAATGTGGTAGTAGTGGTGGTGTGCAAAATAGCAATAAATTTGAAGATAATCAGAAAGGAGATGCGGCCTGGCTGCTGAATCTCCTCTGGACCGGAAAATAATTAACTCTTGGCGCGGTCGCCTTGAGGACACAGACACAGACTGGCTGACTGACTGGGAAGGCAATTTCTGTGTCCATTCCATAAACTGGAAGCACCTGGAGCCTAGAAGAAAAGAGAATCTAGGCAAAAAATCCAACAAAGGAGAATAAGCGGTGAACCTTTCTAATCTTCCGCACAAGGAGAAGAAAAAATGGCTGCGAGAAACTGCTTCCACTTGAGGTGAGAGTGGCAGCAGCAGCAGCAGCTACTCAAAACGCTGTAGAGCACTTCTTTGCGCAGCGCATGTAAATTACATTTTTT